AAAGGATTTAGAGCTGGAAGGGACTTTTTAGAAGCCCACAACAAAAGCTAAGGAAACAGAGGAGAGATAAGCTGGCTTCCCCACGGTCACAGAAGCAGTAAGAGAGCCAGACTTCAGTATGGCGCACCTACCACCATGCTGCCTAAACAGAGCCACCTCCACAAGCTGGAGGCCTTCAGAGAGCTCTTAGTGACCCCTGAACCTTCCCAATGGATGCCCTTCCATAAACACGGCCTCCCAACATTTCCAAATTGTGCACATCTGTCCCTGCCCGGGTCTCACTTTATTATTTCTAAAGACTGATTGCTCCATCACGGGCGCAACACTGTCGTATGATCCCTGACCTCGACCTCACCATACGGGTGGAGAGAGAAGAGGGACCCAGCCTCCCAACGCAACAGGACCAGGCTTCCTACCCCACCCCACACACTTATTTCCCAGAGTACTCAGCTTCCTCATCTCTAAAAGGAAAAGGCCAAACCAGATGGTCTCTGAGAGCCCCTCCGGCTCTAACGGAGCTCCCTATGAACTCCTCCCCTGCCGTGCGTGACATGTGCCGTCTTTCTTTGCACCCTCAACACTTGCTTGTCATAGTGCCCAGGACGTAAGCGTGCAATAAACGCTTGCTGACACACTAGAGAATGCTATCCTGTTTCCTGCACGGCCACGGTCTAGTCCCCCCTTCAACGCTACTTTCCCTATTCGCCAAATTTCACTGTCGCTGCAGCTGCTGCTGCTGGTTGGGCTTTTGGTTGGTTTGCTGTTTTTTGTCTTTTTGGGAAAAGAAGGGAAGAAGAGGTAAAAGGGAGAGAGGTTCAGTGACAGTCAGCCATTCAATAAGCTTTTGTTAAGGGTGCTGTGCTAAGTGCCAGGGCCACAAAGAGAGGCAGACCCGTTGCCCGCTCTCCAGAAGTTCAGTCTAATGGGGAATGCCAGCCACAGCATCTCCGCACCGAGCTCGCACCAAGCCAGCTGCCGCGAGGGAGGGACCAGAGACCAGCTAGTCAAACAAGTTACTAAAACCTGCTACTCCTTCACTGCTTTGGCCCTCCTAGGAACCCCCTACATCTGTGATCTTTTCTTCCCTCCCTCTCACCCCCTCCATTCACTCAGCTGCCAGATCTTGCCTACACGCCTCCCGTCCCTCCCCTAAGAGCTATCTCAAGTCACGTCGACAAGTATTTATTTATTAAGCACCTACCACATGCCAGGCACTGAGCTAAGCCCAGGGATACAAAGCGATGCAAAAAGAGTCCCTGCCCTCAAGGAGTTCATAATCTAACGGGGGAGACAACATGCAAAGAACTATACTCAAACAACATATAGACAAGATAAAGTGGAGAAAATCTCAGAAGGAAGGCACTAGAATTAAGAGGCCTGGGAAAGGCTTCTTAGAGAAGGCAGGATTTTAGCTTGGACATGAAGTGGAGGAGCCAGGAGGCAGAGACGACGGAGAGAATTCTAGGCATGGGGGATGAGTGAAAAGGAGTCCAGAGATGGAGTGTTTGGTATGCACCACAGCAAGGAGGCCAAGGTCACTGGATCATAGAGTATAGAGAGGGGAGTAAGACGGAAGATGACTGGAGGGGGTGGGGCTGGGGGTGGGGCAGGGCTTTAAAACCCAGAGAGAGGATATCTGACACAGCTGTCTCCAAGTAAAGAGGCACGAGCTGTTCTTGGAGCTCCAGTGGGGACCAAAGGGAATAAAGTGAGTTGTTAGAGAAAAGTCTGGTTCGGTACAAAGAATGCACTTTCAAACAATTAAGAAGATGTTATTGATGGAATTCACCCTTCAGGTGGGGTTCGAATCAGATGATTTCTAAAGTTCCTTCCTAGTCTAATGTACTATGAAGCCTTGATTCAGCCAGAGCTCAAAATACAATGGGATGTTTCAGAACACACGAATTTACCTTCACTGTAGGTCTTAAAAACAGACCCCAATGGTCAATTCTGGAGGAAATGGGAGAAGGGATTCCTACAGAGGGAGCGGACTGAAGTAGACGACCTTTAAGGTCTCTAGATCCAGCCTTGGGACTCTACCTTCCTGTGATCTGTCCAAGGTTATATACCTGCAGCTCACAGCCACCAAACGGTTCCTCCTTCTACCCCAACGCCCAGGTGCCAAGGGGCCAAAGTCCACATTCACTGGGTTCTCTCCCCACCCCGTACCACCCAGAGACCTGTTCCCACCCTCCCTTCACAGCACAGCAATTATGCTGGAGAGAGCTTTGTGTCCAACCGGGTTCCTACTAACTAGGGGCCTTTGGCACTGTGGACACCTGGGGCCAGATGGCCAGAGAGCAACTCAATATGCCCAGTGGCAACATGTCTTTCAGGTAGAAGGAGATGGGAACACAGGGAAGCCCGGTGGTTGGGTAGCTGGATCCTGATTCCTTAATATCAACATATGGTTCGAGATTAAAGTATACATGGCATTGCAGAAAATTATCAATAGTGGTGCCAAATCATAAATACCAGAAAACTCCAAGAGGAAAGAGAAAAATTAGTTTTACTAGTAAAGCATCAATAAACTTTTAAAAATTCCAACAGCAGCCAAGTCCTTCCACTCCAGTGAAAATCCAAGAGTAAAGGACTGGATGCATCGCGACATAACAAGTATGAATTTTCTATTCACAAACCATAGAAGCCACGCTGCACGGTACATCACTACAAGAAGTCCATACTTCCCTTCCAAAAAATAAAGCAATTCCAAGGCTTAAAAGCCCTGCCTAATTACACATCACTACAAGAAGTCCATACTTCCCTTCCAAAAAATAAAGCAATCCCAGGGCTTATAAGCCCTGCCTAATTACACAAGTCCAATAACAATTACATATATCACTAAGTGTTCTAAGTTTGACCGGTTCCCAAAACAAAATCATTCCAGTGGGGTCAGCCTTCTGCTGCCTCCACAGCAGGATCTGGGTGACAATTTTTTAAAAAAAGTAAAGAGAACATAGGTCACAACACAGTATATTGAACACCCTAATGGAGTTCTATGAAGGAACAGAAAAGACATTGTGGGAGAGGGCAGACAAACTGAATCTGGAAGAATCAAGTGGCACCTAGAAAAACCACCAGGAGCAGGCCTGCTAACTGGAAAGCAAAGAAACACCAAAAGCAAGAGAGAAAAAGAGAGAGGGAGGGAGGGTGTGTGTGAGGAAGGAAGGGTGTGAGGAAGGGAGGGCGTGAAGGAGGGAGGGTATGAAGGAGGGAAGGGGAGAGGGGGAGAGAGAGGAGAAGAAAGGAAGAGAGAGAGAGAGAGAGAGAGAGAGAGAAAGAAAGAGAGAGAGAGAGAGAGAGAGAGAGAGAGAGATTAAGACAGAATCCATCATGCTCAGTTCACTCTAAAATGCAGCAATAAACGACGACCCTGGCTGAGCTCTCTCTCACTTTGGGGAATAAATGGTAAGACAGAGCCATAATGCTCAGACGAGTATTATTAAAAGTCTGATAAGAAGACATTACTGAGGTTTTTCGAGCAGAATAATAAGATAAAAACAATTTCCTTTTGAATCACTGAAAAATACACTTGAATAAAAAATGGGCTCTCTATCCCGACTCTTCATTGGACGCTGCCACATGGTGTCACTATCTCTTTAGGACATCAAACTAGCTTGTCTAGGCTGACAAAAATTCAAGTGGATCCAAAGGGACCATTCAGGGGTTAGAACAGGCAGATCATCAGGGGCAGAAATGAGTTGGAAACCAAACACCTGAAAAATTTCCCATCCATACTTTCTGTGATTCCATTAATCATTAAATCTTTTTTTTTTTTAAAAAAGCACAATGTACAACTGTTCAAGTCTCAAACCAATACGAGGCCATAAAAGTAACACTAAACCCATGTTCGCCAGATTCAATTCAACAAACATTAGATACCTACTGTGTGCAATGAAAAGATGTAGGTGGGGATGCAAAGAGGGAAAAAATGGAAATTGTTCCTACCCTTAAGGAGCTTATGATCTACCCGGGGGAGGCCAATATTAGGTCACACAATGGAGCTTTTCAGCAGAATCTGATGATAAGCAATGAATAAACCCATCTCATCGTCCAAAACGGAAGATATTGGACGGCAGTCCAATGATTAGAACTAGGATACCGCTGAATGTAAATATGAAAAAGAGGGAAGGCAACTGAAAAGGGTGCCTTAGGGTCAGGAAGAGAGGATCGGGAGTTCCAATCCCGACTCTGACGAGTCTCAGGTCTCCTCGTTCGTTAACGAGTGGTGACATGTGCACCGACCACCTACCAGGATCACTCGCAAGAGCCAAGATCCTTAAGCACCATATCAATGTCCTTCTCTGGGGCTCTGTGTGAGACGTCGAAGGGCTATTGCTTCTATCAGCACCAGAGCCTGGAATTGTGGGTGCCACAAGGTCTTCACACATGGCGTGTAAAGTCCCCTTATAAAATGTTCCCGCAAGGATCGGCTACGGAAAACTCCTCAAGAGAGTGGGTGCCGAGCGGCAGCAGGGACCACCCGTCGAGTCTTCGAGGAGGCCCGCGCCCAGCGTCTCCAGCAGACAACCTGAAGGGGAATTCCGTGAGGATGTTTGTGCGACCTAGGCTCGAGTTCCAACCCTGCCCCCGGCTGCGTGACCTCCATCTCCCAGCCTCCGTTTCCCCATCGCGGCGCACAGGCACGAGAGCCGGGGGGGCCCCCCGTTACTGGATCCTGTCACCGATGCTGTTACTGTTACTTCCTTTGGGATCGTCTTCCC